TAAAATAACTGAAAATGACTGACTTCTTAAATTCATTTTTAAAAACAGTCATTTTGTATATAAATCTTAAACAGGTATTAAACCTGCAACTATGAATGATATCTTAAATTATTTGGTAGTTTTACATTATGTGTATTGATTAATTGCAAAATTTTATTAACTAGCTACTATTCATTGTGTTCTCCTAGAAAGCTTTTTTTTTCCTGTGTAGTCAGAAATAATGTCTTTATTTCCATGTCTGATTTATTGACTTGTATCTTCTCTCCCTTTTTTAAGACCTATCTGATGTTTAGTAAGTTTGTTGATAAAAAATAGATAAAACTAGCTAGTGGTTATACTAATTCTCTGCATTCTTTTTAATATCTCATATTTATATTTACTCTCATCTTTTTTTAATAGTTGTTTTTACTATAGGGTATATATATTCTCATAGGAGAGACAGAGAGAAAGATACTGAGTAATCACTCTTCTCTAGGGATTTTTGGCATGAATATACATGCACCCAGCTTGAGGTTTAAGACACTAAGTCAGTGGGACCAACAGATGGCATAATGACTCTGTCGCTAGACTCTCATGTAGTCAATCATTGTTCGAGTCCTGGACCCAGTGGCTTAAACTCACACCTGGCACATGTGCCCAAGATCCCAAAAAGAGAATGGAGGAGAAGGGATTACAGTGTGGCCATCCCCCCATGGGAGTGATCTTTCTCTTCCTGGCGGAGCTCATGCCCTATAGCTAAAAGCTCTCAAAAAATTAAAAAAAAAAAAAAAGACGGTGAATCAGGAACTCACGCCATGGTTGATTATGTGAAAGTCCAGTGACAAAACCATTATGCCATCTGCTGGTCCCACATTCTAATCTGAATATCTTTGTTTCTGCTAGCTGGAATTTCTGCTTTCTGAAGTGTCTTGATGTGTTAAATTGTGTTGATCTGATGTGTCCCATATTTTTAATTTTTCCATTCCAGAAAATTTTATCATACCCTTTTCATAATTGACCTATGTGTAGAAACTGCCTAGAGACACAAACCAGAGTACAATTACATGAAGAGAACAAACAAGATACTCAATAAAACAAAGTGATTGTTGCTTGCAGTACTTTAAGTGGGTAATTTATACACTTAAAAAGTCGTGGGGCCGGGAACCAGCAGTTAGCGTAATGGCTATGTTGCTGGACTCCCATGTAGTCAACTGCGGTTCGCTTCCCGGACCCGGTAGCTTAAAACTCATGCCGGGTGCGTGTGCATGCATGCCCAAGATCCCGAGAGGAGAATGGAGGAGAAGGGATTGTGGTGTGACCATCCCCCCTGGGGAGTGATTTCTCGCTTTCTGTCTCTATGTCTCTCTCTGTCTGTCTGGCAAGCACCCGTGCCCTATAGCAAAAACCTCTCAAAAAAAAAAAAAAAAGAATTCAAAAAGGTGGCATAGTGACTAGGTGCTAGATTCTCACATGGTTAACCATGGTTTCAGTCCTGAACACAGCATCTTGAAACTCATACTGGTTGTGTGTACATGTGTGCCCATAATAGTGAAAGGGGAATGAAGAGGGATAGCAGTGCAGTTTCACCCCAGAAGGATAATTTCTCACTTTCTTTCTATATCTCTCTCTTTGTGCTCTGATGACTACATGCACCTTGTAAAATATGTGTCCCTCAAAAACAAGTTACACAGTGGGGCCAGCATGTAGTGAAGTGGCTAATGTGCTGAACTCCCATATGTCCAGCCAGAGTTCAAGTCCTGGACCTGGCTGCTTGAAAAGTCACTCCAGGCATGTGTGTGTGTGTGCATGTCCAAAATATCAGGAGGAGAAAGCACTGCAACATAGCCATATCCCCTAGGGAGTGATTTCTCACTTTCTCTCTCACAGTCCCTCTCTGTCACGGGCACATTCCTTATGACAAAAACCTTTTAAGAAAAAAAAAAAAAGAATCGTATACTGCAAAATGATACATTGCTCACTATGTGTTAAGTAGTTTTAAGAGAAAATGATGCATTTAATAAATTGCATTCCAGTAGTAAATTCTACTTTTAATTTCAATGTAATTATTGTACCTAAAAAAATTAATATATTTTAGCTTTTCTACATAGAATCTCTTTTCCACTCTTTGGGAAAAAAAAGAAAAAACTTGAGATCACAGTCTCTATTCAGAGACTGTTTTACTGCTTGATTACCTTTTATGGTTTAACATTTAAAATGTTTATTTAAAAGAAGTATATTATGAGGCTTTTAATTTACATTAATGTAGAAATATTAGAGAGGAGTGAGGGATATTTTAGGTGGGACGATGATTGTGGCCAACCCTAAAGTTCCCCATGTTACCTTTGCATTCTTTCTCACAATTGGTCAGGAGATTCAGTGGGGATGACTGAATTAGGAAAGGTTCTCACTCTGGAATTTTCTAAGCCCAGATACTTGGAAGTTGAGATGGAGCAAAACATCTAGTGCTCTCAAAGGACTCCAGCTAAGGTAAGTAGGGGATGTTTCTGGAATGTAGGTGCCTAGTCATCTGGGTTCCAAGTTCTTCTAGAGTTTATTGTCAATCAACTGAAGCCACTTCCTGTGGTCTCTTTTTTTCTGTGCTACTCAGATTCTATTTTCCCAAGGTCCCTCCTGGGCCATTAACTGCTCACCCTCATTCCATGCTGAATCCACAACTGAACACAGCTATACCATGTCTGAGGACCCACCCACAGACATAAGGAAGCCTCCCAGCTCTGAAGAAAA